AGATTATGAATATCAGACAGATTAAATGTGAACAAAGAGTAATATACAGGTAGTAGATATTGGCAAAGGAGGCACAAGATATGATGGATGTATGACTACTTTTTCAGATATTTTTGCTTTTAGTATGCAGAACTGAGAGGATCTTGGAAGAAGAGCATAACCTGTAAATTGTTATCCTGACCCATTTTTCATAAAGATATGTAGCTGCTGGAGGAAGTTATGAGTTGTAGAACAACAGGGAGATTTGAGTTCATCTAAATATCAAAAGCTAGGACTATTTTAAGACTAATTGAAGCAGGAATTTTTAAAACTATATTGAGATATAATTCACAAATCATATATTTACCCATTAAGTGTGTGCAATTCAATTATTTTTATATACACACAGTATGTGACCATCATCGCAATCTAATTTTTGAACTCTCCCACCCCCTTAATTTTCAGTCACTATTTCTTTCTTTTACCTAATTTCTGCCACTAGAACATCCAGTACCATGTTTAATAGAAGCAGTGAGATCAGATATCCTTGTCTTTTTCCTAATCTTAGGGCGAAAGCATCCAGTCTTTTGCATTAAGTATGATGTCCTCTATGGGTTTTTCTTGGACACTCTTTATCAGGATGAGTATTCCTTCTGTTTTTAATATGTTGAGTAACAGTGGTGGATTTTGTCAAATGCTTTATGTTTCTTAAGATGATCAAGTAGTATGGGCCTGACCCAGTGGTGCAGCGATTAAGTGTGCACGTGCTGCTTCGGCAGCCCAGGGTTCACCGGTTCAGATCCTGGGTGTGGACATGGCACTGCTTGGTGATAGGCCATGCTGTGGTAGACGTCCCACATATAAAGTGGAGGAAGATGGGCATGGATGTTAGCTCAGGGCCAGTTTTCCTCAGCAAAATGGGAGGATGGGCAGCAGATGTTAGCTCAGGGCTGATTTTCCGCAAAAAAAAAAAAAAAGATGATCAAGTAGTTTTTGTCCTTCATTCTGCTAAAAGCTTATATTACACTGATTGATTTTTGTATGTTGAACCACTCTTGCATTCCTGGGGTCAGTCCCATTTGGTCATGGTGTATAATGCTTTTAATATACTGCTAGATTTGGTTTGCTAGTATTTTGTTGAAGATTTCTATTCAATATTTATAAGAAATGTTGTTTACTGTTCATTTTCTCTATTTGTCTTATATATTTTTGGTCTTTACTTCCTCCATTATTGCTTTCTTAAATAGATATTATTGAGTGTACCATTTTATTTTTTTAATTTTCTTGTTTTTTTCCTATATATTTTTTAGTTATTGTCTTAGTGGTTACCTTAAGGATAGCAATTAACATCTTAATTTATGACAACCTACTTCAAATTAATACCAATTTAATTTCAATAATATATAAAGTCTTTGCTTCTATATTGCTCCATTTCCCCATTTTGTTGGCATTGTTACAAATTATGTCTCTATAAGTATATACTCATCACCACAGACTTATATTTATTGTTCTATGCACTTATTTAAAAATATGATAGGAAACAAGTTACAAAAAATACATGAATTCTGGCTTCTATATATGCCTTGTAGTTATCGTTAGCCAGCCCTGGTGGTCAAGTGGTTAAGATTTGATGTTCTCACTGCCACGCCCTGGGTTTGTTTCCTGGTCAGGGAACCACACCACCTATCTGTTGATTGCCATACTGTGATGGCTATGTGTTACAGTCATGCTGAAAGCTATGTTGCTGGTATTTCAGATACCAGCAGGGTCATTCACACTGGTCATTCACAGTTTCAGCTGAGCTTCCAGACTAAGACAGACTAGAAAGCACAAGCTGGCCACCCACTTCCAAAAAAATTGGCCATGAAAACCCTATGAGTAGCAGTGGAGCATTGTCTGATATAGTGCCAGATGGTGAGAGGATGGTGCAAAAAGACTGGGGTGAGTTTTGCTCTGCTGTACACAGGATCACTAGGAGTTGAAATCAACATGGTGCTAACAACAAAGTAAAATTTACTGGTTTATTTATCCATTCATTTCAGCTTGAAGGGCTCCCTTTGGCATTTGTTGTAGGGCAAGTCTTCTGTCAAAGAACTTTCTCACTTTTTGTTAATCTGAGAATGTCTTAATTTCTCCCTCATTTTTGTAGGAAATTTTTGTCAGATAAAGAATTCCTGGTTGAATGTCTTTTTGTTTAGCACTTCAAAAGTGTCCTCATACTGCCTTCTGGCTTTTATGTTTTTTGATGAGAATCAGTTGTTGATCTTATTGAGGATTACTTTTATGCTGTTGCTGCTTTCAGGGTTCTCTCTTTGTCTTTAAACAGTTTCATTGTGATGCGACTCAGCAGGGATCTCTTTGAATTTATCCTACATAGAGTTCACTGGACTGTTGAAAAATGTATAGGTAGATTATATAGGAGTAAAACGTATAGGTAGATTAACATTTTTCATGAACTTTCGGTAGGTTTGGGCCATTATTACTTGAAATATGCTTTTTGTTCCTTTCTCTCTTCTGTAATTCTCCTTATGCATATGTTGATATACTTGAAGGTGTCCTCACAGGACTTTTAGGCTATGTTCATTAAAATAGTTTTTTAATTCTTTTAACTGGATAATTTCAATTTATATATCTTCAAGTTAAATTGTTTTTTTGTCAGCTCAAATTTCCTGTTGTGCCCTTCTAGTGAGTTTTTCATTTCTGTTATCACGCTTTTCAACTCTAGAATTTCTACTTGGTTTCATTTGAAAAATTTGTCTCTTTATTGATATCCCTATTTCATGGGACATTGTTTGTAGGGTTTATTTAGTTCTTTAGATATATTTTCTTATAGATCTTTGGACATATTTAAAATAATGGATTTAAAGAATTTGTCTATTGAGTCCAATGTCTAGACTTCCTGAGGGAGACATTCTTTGGATTTTTTTTCTCTGTGTATGGGATATATTTTCTTGTGACTTTGAATGCCCATACTTTTTTGTTGAAAATTGGACATATTGAATATCATAATATGGCAACTCTGGATATCAGATCATCCCTCACTCCCTTGGTTTGTTCTTGCTTATTGTTGTGAAAGTTGTTTGTAGTGTGTGGCCACTGAAGACTGTTCCATTAAATTAGGGGTCACCTAATAATTGGACAGAGATTTCCTTAAAAAAACGTGAAACCACAAAATCTCCCTGTCTTTGCAGAAAGTCTCTCTTTGTATGTCAGCATATGCCTTTAACACATAGCCAGGCATTTTAAACTTTCCCTTAGTCTCAATTTTTGATTCCCAAGAGCCTCATATTCACCCAGACAAGAGAGCTTAGGGCCTTCTCATCTTTCCCGAATATGGACATAACTGTATATCTGTACTGTCCTGATAGAGTCCCAAGAACAACTGGATTTTCTCACAGCCATTATTTCACAAAAAATCTCATTCCCCAACCTTTCCTGACAAAGTTTTTGGTTAATTTAATTTTTCTACAATGATTATCCGCTGCATGAGAGAGTAGCAACTAACACCACAAAATCATTATTAATCTACCAGTCTAGCCACTGTAACAACAAGTGAGTTCTCAATTAGCAGAAATAAAAGCAAGTCTTTGAGGCAGTCTTTTAGGGAGGCAACATACAAATAAAAACAAATAATTACAATTATTTGGATGTGAGGTCAGTTCTCTCTCCTGTACCATTACCAGGAAGGTGGACTGTTACTTTCAATAATGCTACTGAGGTAGGGAGTAACAGGTAGAAAAAGGGTAAGTTAAACAGCACAGTGTTTCCTGATTATAAAGATTCAACTTCTTTTTTATTAAGAGATCCCCTGTGCTTACACATCTCATGGTGAGTTTCCCGATTTCAAATAAGTTCATTCTTCAAGATTTTGACAGTTTTTTCTGGCAATCATTTTATGGAGGGACAGACTTTTGAAGTTCCTTACTCTGTCAGTTTGGCTAAAATGTCGCTCCTTATTTCATTTTTGAATTTCAAAGCCGTTAAAGAAGATGGGAATATTTTCATGGACTTAATTGTCACTTCTATATCTTCAGTGGTTAGATGTCAAATAAAATAATTTAACATATTAATTGGGTTCTTTGTTTTGTAGTTAAGTGAAAGACTTCATTATGTATTATGGAAACAAATATTTTATGAGAAATATAATTTGAAAATGGTTTTCTAAGATTGTATGGCCTGTACTTTCTTTATAAATGGTATCCATAAACCAGAAAATACATGAATAATGATGGAATGGAATTTACGTACTTTCTTTGTTAATTTGTTAAAGGATGTATTTATTCTATTCCTATTGATTTGGTGATAGTTAATTGTGTTTGTTATTTGTAACAACAAGATGCAGACGTATGGATAATATGTTGAAGCATAGGTGATTGATGACAATAAAAAGTTTGTGGATGTGCTCCCTAAAGATTACTGGAATGCATGATCACATGATATTTGAGACTATTTCACAGTGATCTTGTGTTCCAGGCAAGAAGATAATCCTGTGAAACATTAACTATGTGATTGAATTTCTCTTAAAAGAGAACGAAACAAAGTTTATGGGTGAAGGAAATACAAAATTGGTGGATGTGAGTGTGTGCTATTCTTGTAAGGTTGGAAAAGAAACACAAATTATGAAAAAGGACAAATGCACATAAGATACTGATGGAGAAAAGAGAACATGTTGAATTAAAATTACAAAGCATGGCCTAGGTATATTTCTGATGAATCCATGAAAATTCCCTACATTCTTCAGGTGGAACTGCCATCAAAGGTCACTGCCAAGAACCAAGAGAACAACTTCCTGTCCTTTGATGAACACAACTACAAAGGAATCATGGCGGAAGTGTGGCCAGGGATGTGCACCCCACCAACGGATGGCTCAGGATGGTCAGCACTGCTTTGTCCAAAGTTCAGCATATATCTAGGTAGGGTTTGGTAGAAAGGCCTGGGAAGCTTCTTGTGCACGTGTGCCCGGGGGCCCGCGGCGTCGTGCTCTGAGGGCGGACTGACTGTTGCCCCTGCTCCGGGGCTCGGCTCTGGATTCTCCAGGCCGCTGGCGCCCATGAGGCGATCGGCTCGCCCGCTGCGGAGCCCCCCAGCCTGCCTGGTTAGTTTGTCCAGGTTGGCAGAACGTGCTCGGATCGATGATGACTCCCTCATATGCATTCCTTGGAAAATCTGAACAAAATGAGTGAGAACTCACTACCGTCGTTCTCATCGAAACTGAGGTCCGGCACGTTGTCTTCCCCAGGCATGGCAGGAGTGAGGGACCGCTTCCCCTTGAGCGCACTGGGACGGGCACGGGCACCACGCCGGGCGTCCGCATTTGGGAGCCGTGGCATCTGGGGGTCCTTCCTCTCACCGCGTGAGGGGGGTGTCCGTCAGTCGGCGGTGCTTGGTTGAACGGCCTGTGGCTGAGGGCCGTGGCTGGCAGCTCGCATCCTAGGTTGGGAAGTCGGAGAGTGTGGCGCTGGCACAGGCCCCGTGAGCTCAGGGCCTTGTGGCTGTGTGGGCCTGGTTCCCGCTGGGGACGAAGGCCCCGGGGGTCTGCGTCTCAGAGCTGAGCAGTAAGCAGTGGAAGGTCGCGTGGTTTCTGATGAGAGCCCCGGGCCAGGCGGGCGGCCGTCAGCTGTTCTTGCCTTTTGGCTTGGTGAGGCAGTTGGAGCACCCCTCGCGGTTTGGGGCGCCGCCGGAGGGGTGAGACTTTGGTGCTGCAGCTTGGGGCTCCTCTAGTTCTCCGGCTCGCCCAGTCCACGCCAAGGTGCCCAAACGGGGACCGGGCTGTGGGCCTGGCACTCAGGTCAAGACACTGTGGTGGTTGATGGCCTGGTCGTGGGGAGCTGGGGGGGAAGAAGAGCACGGAGAGGACAGGTCACAGTGTGATGCCGTGGGCTTCCGTGGGACGTGCTGCCTCGTTGTGTTCCGAGCGCTGGCAGCGGCTTGTCGGGAAGGTGCCCTGGCTCTGACGGGGCTGGCGATTGGTGCGTGCCGGGGAAGGCTGGAGGCTTGAAGGCCCGGGGGTGTGCACTGTGGTCGGTGACCTTTGTGGCAGATGGCGGGCCTTGTTCCAGAGCGGTGGCGCTCTGCGGTTCTCTCCACGGTTCCTTGAAGAGGGGCCCGGCACGTGACTGCCGGGCGGCCGGCCGCCGCTGCTCATCGATTGCTTGGGCGACCGTGGCCTTGGATCCTCCGCCGTCTCAGGCGCGGGGTCTCCGAGGAGAAAGCGTTCCTCCAGCACGGTCCGATTTTCCTGGCGCGGTTCGCCTCATGCCTCGTCGCAGGGCTTTAGGTTTCTTCGTGGAAGCCTGTGGGCCTGGCGGAGACGGCGGGTGCCGTGACCCGAGCTGCCCTGCCGCGCACAGACGTCCGCCTTGGAAAACGTCCGCCTCTCCAAGGGTGGCGGGGGCGGGGTGTGTGTGTGCTCGTTCCGTGCCTCCTCTTGCCTTCGTGGACAGAGCCATCCTTGGGGCCGTGTGAGGTCGTTTGTGGTGTTACAGGTGCCGAGGGAGGGTCCAGACGTTGAACGTGACGGGTCGAGTCCCGTACGCACAGTCGAGATTCCCTCGTGGCCGTCCTCCCCGGGGCTCCCTGGCCGCCACGTGTGTGTAGGGTTTGAGGTCCTGCTTGGGGGACTTGCCTCGCAGGCCTGAGGTGGGCCAGGCAGCGCGTGGGTGGGAAGGAGTCCTGGAAGGCCGGGGTCCAGAAAGCGGGCCCGCTGTGGTAACGCCAGGTCCCTGGACGGGAGTGGGCTCCAGGTTCAGTCGGGTCTTAGCGTGGGTCGTGGTGGCCACAGACCACCTCTTCCTGGCACTTCCCCTGCCCTGGCACCGCTGAGGGCGTGGGTGTAGCCTCAGTCAGCAGGAAGAGGCGCCTGGCCCCCGGTCCCCGGTGGCGTGGCCACTGGAGATCAGGAGGGGCTGCTGCTTCTGCCCTCTAGCCCGTGTCCCAGCGGCGCCAGCCTTCGAGTGGTGTAGGCGCTTTACGTGGTTCAGGTCCAGCAGTGGTCGGCGCGTTTCCGTCGGGCGCGGTTCGCGTGGCACGGCGTGCGGGGACAGCGGGCGCCCACGGTCGGGCGGAGGGTGAACCTGCTGGAGTGTCGTGTTCCGGTGTTCAGAGGCAGGGGCTGTGAGAGAGGGAGCCTGTGGCCTATTTCAGCAGGCCGAAAGGGCAGAGGTGAGCCGCCGGGCGAGTCGAGGTCAAAGCCGCCAGCGCGAGCTCTTGGTCTCGCGGCAGGGCCTGAGGCCAGGGATGTGTGCGGAAGACGTGCTTCTTCAGGGGCTCGGGCCCCGCGCACCCGAAGACACGCACACGCGCCCGCCTGCGCGCCTTCCTGCGCTTGTGCTGTCACACACGCCTTCTTGTCACACCTGAGGGGAAGAGGTAGAGGCCAAGAAGATGCAAGGCTTGCCCCGGGGCAGGGAGTCGGGGTGGAACCCTTGGCCTGGCTCTGGTTACCTGAGAGCCTGGCTGGGTCGCTGAGGCGTGCGCGTGCGATTGCTCTGCACTTCCCAGGTGGGATCTCCGAGCAAAGCTTGCCGTCGCCCAAGAAGAGAAGACCTTCCTGTCGTTTGTGGAGCGGAGACGCGAGGGAATCCCGCAAGAAGCGTGGCTTCGGGTGCGCCCCGTGCCCGTGGCTCGCTGAGGCTGGTAAGGATCCCCCTGCACCCAGTTCGTGCCGTTGGCCCTGGGAGTCCCAGACCGCGCTGAGAGGCTTCTAGCCCGCGGGTCCCCGGGGGCGTGCGGAGCTGGCGCTCTGAGGGTGGGTCGACAGTTGCCCTTGCTCAGGGGCTTGGCTCGGGATTCTCCGGGCCGCTGGCCGACCCTGAGGTGATGGGCTCACCCGCCGAGCCCCGCCAGCTGCCCCGAAGGTGCTCGGATCGATGATGACTCCCTCAAATGCATTCCTTGGAAATCTGAACAAAATGAGTGAGAACTCACTACCGTCGTTCTCGCCGAGACTGAGGTCCAGCACCTGGTCTTCTCCGGGGGTGAGAGGAGTGAGGGACAGCTTCTGGTTGATGACACTCGCGCAGAGCCCGCCCAGGGCCTCAGCGTGTGGGCGTCTGCTGTGTTTGCACCGGGAGCGTGACCGCATGAGCTGGACGTTTGCGACTCGGAGGGACTTGCTTGAATGGCCGGCCTCTGCTGGCGCGGCGCCCGGGTCGCATGGGCGTCTTTAGAGTCGGAGAGTGTGGCGTTGGCATGGGCCCGGCCCGTGGTTGGCGCTGAGTACGCGCTGGCCCGGTTCTGGCCTGAGCCGTTGCCCCGGGGGGCGTGGCGGGTGGGGTGGCGGTCCGTGTCTGGAGGCCGAACAGCCGAGTCTTCCCTGGGTTCCGTTCGGAGCCTCGGTTTGGGCCGGGCAAGCCGCAGCGCCTGTGGTTGCCTTCTGGCTTGGTGAGGAGGTGTGATGGGCCCGTGGTTTTGGCGGCGGGGGCAGCGGCCCTAGGCCGCAGCGCTGCAGCTGGCAGCTCCTGTGTGTCACCTGCTCACCCGGGCCACACACAGCTGGCCAAAGGTGGCCCTGGCGCTGACGTCCAGGCAGTGTGGTGGCTGACAGGGCGGGCAGGAAGGAAAGGGAGCGGAGGGGAGCGGCCGTAGTGCGGTTTCACGGGCTTGCACAGGATGTACCCTCTTGTTGGGTTGCGACCGCCGTCGCGGTCTTGCCAGGGGTGGCGTTGGGTCCCAAGGGGGCTGCCGGTTGTTGCCTGCCAGGGAAGGCTCGGCTGCGGTAGATGACCTGTGCGGTAGACGGCGTCGCGCCCCCGGGAGGTTCGGCCCCCAGTGTTTGTCGTCCTAGCGCCTTGAAGAGACCCACAGGCCCGCGACTGGCCACCGGCCCCGTCTGCTCCGGATTGCTGAGGCGGACAATCTCTTTGACCCTGCGCCCCCTCGGGTCCGGCGCTTGCCAGGTGAAGGCGTTGCTGCAGGAAGGTTCGCTCTTCCTGGCCCGGGGGGCTCCTGTGGTCCCGGGCGTGCCGGGGAGCGGGGCCAGGTGGCGGTGTGGGGCGTCGGGGGGGGGGTGTGGGGGCGTGCGCGAGGGGTGGTTAAGAGCGGTGTGCGGAAGCCTGCGGGCGTGGCAGCGACCCGAGGGTGCTGCGATCCTGGGCGCCCTGCCCCGGACGCACGTCCAGCGTGGAGGAGGAGCACGTCTCCTTGTGTGGGAGCGGTGTCCTAGTTTCATTCTTTGCCTTGTCTTCCAGGAGGAGGCAGCGTTTGTGCTCTGTGAGGTCGTCTGTGGTGTTCTGGGGCCGAAGGAGGGGGTCATAGGTCGAGTGCGACGCGGTCGACTTAGGCAAAGTCATAATGCCTTGACGGCTGTCGTCCGGGAGGCTCCCTGCCCGCCTGGCGCGCGAGGTGTTGGAGGCTACACCTTGGGGGACTTGCTGTGCAGGCGTGAGGGGGCTTCCCCTTTGGAGCAGGGAGCCGCGGGGTTGAACGTTTCCTCGAAGGCCAGCGCCCCGCAACCCGCAGGCGGTGGAAATGCCGCGTCGCTGCGTGGGAATTGGCTGTGGTCTGAGACGGGTCTTGCCCCGGGTCTCGGTGGCTGTGACCAGCCGTTGCAGCGGGGTTCCCTGCTGGCCCGCCCAGGGCGTCTTGGCTTAGATAGCCCAGACCGGAGTGCGGCCTGAAGGCGTCGGGCCCCTGGAGGTTCAGACGGGCTGCTTCTGTTGCGCCGCCCGTGGGCGAGTGGTGCCGGCTCTCGTGTCAGCCCTGTTGTCCTGGCGGTAGCCAGGTAGCATTACCATCAAGTGCCGTTCCCCCCGGCCCAGCTCGCGGGGACACGCTGGCCACGTTGACCTCACATCCACGGTCAGCGTGAGGGTGTAGGTGGATGGTCCGTGTCCTTTGCTCAGAAGGAGTGGCGCTCAGAGAGGGAGTCCGGGGCCGATTGCAGCAGCCTCTAGCGGTGCGAGTTGGCGTCCTTCCTTGGGAAGTCACCGGGCTTCCGCGTGGGGTGGCAGGGCACGAGGTCAGGCATCTGTGAGGACGGCGTGCTTTCCCGGGTGCTGAGGCCACCGCACACGGAAGCCTGCAGGCACGCACGCGCGCACGCGCAAACACACACACACACACACACACACGTGCACAGGCCTGCGCATCTGCCTACACTCGGGATATCACACGCGCCTTCGGTCATCCCGAAGGGATAGAGGTACAGGGCAAGCAGATGCAAGGGTGCCGCGGGGGGAACTGTGGCACGGATCCTGTCTTCTGACCAGCTGGGCACGTTTCTGAAGCATGCGTGTGCTTTCTCTACACTCCTCAGGTGGAAGTGCCGTGCAAAGCTCGCTGCCGCCCACCGACAGAAGAAGACCCTTCGTGTCCCGTGACGAGCGCAGGTGCGAGGCAGTCGCGGCGGAAGTGTGGCCCGGGATGCGCACCACGCCCTCGGACGGCCCAGGACGGTCAGCATTGCTTTGTCCCAAGTTCGGCCTCTCGCCCTGAGGGCTTCGCTAGACCTGCCTCAGAGGCTTCTTGGGCGCGTGTACCCGGGGGCCCGCGGCGTCGTGCTCTGAGGGCGGACTGACTGTTGCCCCTGCTCCGGCGGGGCTCGGCTCTGGATTCTCCAGGCCGCTGGCGCCCATGAGGCGATCGGCTCGCCCGCTGCGGAGCCCCCCAGCCTGCCTGGTTAGTTTGTCCAGGTTGGCAGAACGTGCTCGGATCGATGATGACTCCCTCATATGCATTCCTTGGAAAATCTGAACAAAATGAGTGAGAACTCACTACCGTCGTTCTCATCGAAACTGAGGTCCGGCACGTTGTCTTCCCCAGGCATGGCAGGAGTGAGGGACCGCTTCCCCTTGAGCGCACTGGGACGGGCACGGGCACCACGCCGGGCGTCCGCATTTGGGAGCCGTGGCATTTGGGGGTCCTTCCTCTCACCGCGTGAGGGGGGTGTCCGTCAGTCGGCGGTGCTTGGTTGAACGGCCTGTGGCTGAGGGCCGTGGCTGGCAGCTCGCATCCTAGGTTGGGAAGTCGGAGAGTGTGGCGCTGGCACAGGCCCCGTGAGCTCAGGGCCTTGTGGCTGTGTGGGCCTGGTTCCCGCCGGGGACGAAGGCCCCGGGGGTCTGCGTCTCGGAGCTGAGCAGTAAGCAGTGGAAGGTCGCGTGGTTTCTGATGAGAGCCCCGGGCCAGGCGGGCGGCCGTCAGCTGTTCTTGCCTTTTGGCTTGGTGAGGCAGTTGGAGCACCCCTCGCGGTTTGGGGCGCCGCCGGAGGGGTGAGACTTTGGTGCTGCAGCTTGGGGCTCCTCTAGTTCTCCGGCTCGCCCAGTCCACGCCAAGGTGCCCAAACGGGGACCGGGCTGTGGGCCTGGCACTCAGGTCAGGACACTGTGGTGGCTGATGGCCTGGTCGTGGGGAGCTGGGGGGGAAGAAGAGCACGGAGAGGACAGGTCACAGTGTGATGCCGTGGGCTTCCGTGGGACGTGCTGCCTCGTTGTGTTCCGAGCGCTGGCAGCGGCTTGTCGGGAACGTGCCCTGGCTCTGACGGGGCTGGCGATTGGTGCGTGCCGGGGAAGGCTGGAGGCTTGAAGGCCCGGGGGTGTGCACTGTGGTCGGTGACCTTTGTGGCAGATGGCGGGCCTTGTTCCAGAGCGGTGGCGCTCTGCGGTTCTCTCCACGGTTCCTTGAAGAGGGGCCCGGCACGTGACTGCCGGGCGGCCGGCCGCCGCTGCTCATCGATTGCTTGGGCGACCGTGGCCTTGGATCCTCCCCCGTCTCAGGCGCGGGGTCTCCGAGGAGAAAGCGTTCCTCCAGCACGGTCCGATTTTCCTGGCGCGGTTCGCCTCATGCCTCGTCGCAGGGCTTTAGGTTTCTTCGTGGAAGCCTGTGGGCCTGGCGGAGACGGCGGGTGCCGTGACCCGAGCTGCCCTGCCGCGCACAGACGTCCGCCTTGGAAAACGTCCGCCTCTCCAAGGGTGGCGGGGGCGGGGTGTGTGTGTGCTCGTTCCGTGCCTCCTCTTGCCTTCGTGGACAGAGCCATCCTTGGGGCCGTGTGAGGTCGTTTGTGGTGTTACAGGTGCCGAGGGAGGGTCCAGACGTTGAACGTGACGGGTCGAGTCCCGTACGCACAGTCGAGATTCCCTCGTGGCCGTCCTCCCCGGGGCTCCCTGGCCGCCACGTGTGTGTAGGGTTTGAGGTCCTGCTTGGGGGACTTGCCTCGCAGGCCTGAGGTGGGCCAGGCAGCGCGTGGGTGGGAAGGAGTCCTGGAAGGCCGGGGTCCAGAAAGCGGGCCCGCTGTGGTAACGCCAGGTCCCTGGACGGGAGTGGGCTCCAGGTTCAGTCGGGTCTTAGCGTGGGTCGTGGTGGCCACAGACCACCTCTTCCTGGCACTTCCCCTGCCGCTGGCACCGCTGAGGGCGTGGGTGTAGCCTCAGTCAGCAGGAAGAGGCGCCTGGCCCCCGGTCCCCCGGTGGCGTGGCCACTGGAGATCAGGAGGGGCTGCTGCTTCTGCCCTCTAGCCCGTGTCCCAGCGGCGCCAGCCTTCGAGTGGTGTAGGCGCTTTACGTGGTTCAGGTCCAGCAGTGGTCGGCGCGTTTCCGTCGGGCGCGGTTCGCGTGGCACGGCGTGCGGGGACAGCGGGCGCCCACGGTCGGGCGGAGGGTGAACCTGCTGGAGTGTCGTGTTCCGGTGTTCAGAGGCAGGGGCTGTGAGAGAGGGAGCCTGTGGCCTATTTCAGCAGGCCGAAAGGGCAGAGGTGAGCCGCCGGGCGAGTCGAGGTCAAAGCCGCCAGCGCGAGCTCCTGGTCTCGCGGCAGGGCCTGAGGCCAGTGATGTGTGCGGAAGACGTGCTTCTTCAGGGTCTCGGGCCCCGCGCACCCGAAGACACGCACACGCGCCCGCCTGCGCGCCTTCCTGCGCTTGTGCTGTCACACACGCCTTCTTGTCACACCTGAGGGGAAGAGGTAGAGGCCAAGAAGATGCAAGGCTTGCCCCGGGGCAGGGAGTCGGGGTGGAACCCTTGGCCTGGCTCTGGTTACCTGAGAGCCTGGCTGGGTCGCTGAGGCGTGCGCGTGCGATTGCTCTGCACTTCCCAGGTGGGATCTCCGAGCAAAGCTTGCCGTCGCCCAAGAAGAGAAGACCTTCCTGTCGTTTGTGGAGCGGAGACGCGAGGGAATCCCGCAAGAAGCGTGGCTTCGGGTGCGCCCCGTGCCCGTGGCTCGCTGAGGCTGGTAAGGATCCCCCTGCACCCAGTTCGTGCCGTTGGCCCTGGGAGTCCCAGACCGCGCTGAGAGGCTTCTAGCCCGCGGGTCCCCGGGGGCGTGCGGAGCTGGCGCTCTGAGGGTGGGTCGACAGTTGCCCTTGCTCAGGGGCTTGGCTCGGGATTCTCCGGGCCGCTGGCCGACCCTGAGGTGATGGGCTCACCCGCCGAGCCCCGCCAGCTGCCCCGAAGGTGCTCGGATCGATGATGACTCCCTCAAATGCATTCCTTGGAAATCTGAACAAAATGAGTGAGAACTCACTTCCGTCGTTCTCGCCGAGACTGAGGTCCAGCACCTGGTCTTCCTCGGGGGTGAGAGGAGTGAGGGACAGCTTCTTGGTTGATGACACTCGCGCAGAGCCCGCCCAGGGCCTCAGCGTGTGGGCGTCTGCTGTGTTTGCACCGGGAGCGTGACCGCATGAGCTGGACGTTTGCGACTCGGAGGGACTTGCTTGAATGGCCGGCTCTGCTGGCGCGGCGCCCGGGTCGCATGGGCGTCTTTAGAGTCGGAGAGTGTGGCGTTGGCATGGGCCCGGCCCGTGGTTGGCGCTGAGTACGCGCTGGCCCGGTTCTGGCCTGAGCCGTTGCCCCGGGGGGCGTGGCGGGTGGGGTGGCGGTCCGTGTCTGGAGGCCGAACAGCCGAGTCTTCCCTGGGTTCCGTTCGGAGCCTCGGTTTGGGCCGGGCAAGCCGCAGCGCCTGTGGTTGCCTTCTGGCTTGGTGAGGAGGTGTGATGGGCCCGTGGTTTTGGCGGCGGGGGCAGCGGCCCTAGGCCGCAGCGCTGCAGCTGGCAGCTCCTGTGTGTCACCTGCTCACCCGGGCCACACACAGCTGGCCAAAGGTGGCCCTGGCGCTGACGTCCAGGCAGTGTGGTGGCTGACAGGGCGGGCAGGAAGGAAAGGGAGCGGAGGGGAGCGGCCGTAGTGCGGTTCCACGGGCTTGCACAGGATGTACCCTCTTGTTGGGTTGCGACCGCCGTCGCGGTCTTGCCAGGGGTGGCGTTGGGTCCCAAGGGGGCTGCCGGTTGTTGCCTGCCAGGGAAGGCTCGGCTGCGGTAGATGACCTGTGCGGTAGACGGCGTCGCGCCCCCGGCCCGTGGGCGAGTGGTGCCGGCTCTCGTGTCAGCCCTGTTGTCCTGGCGGTAGCCAGGTAGCATTACCATCAAGTGCCGTTCCCCCCGGCCCAGCTCGCGGGGACACGCTGGCCACGTTGACCTCACATCCACGGTCAGCGTGAGGGTGTAGGTGGATGGTCCGTGTCCTTTGCTCAGAAGGAGTGGCGCTCAGAGAGGGAGTCCGGGGCCGATTGCAGCAGCCTCTAGCGGTGCGAGTTGGCGTCCTTCCTTGGGAAGTCACCGGGCTTCCGCGTGGGGTGGCAGGGCACGAGGTCAGGCATCTGTGAGGACGGCGTGCTTTCCCGGGTGCTGAGGCCACCGCACACGGAAGCCCGCAGGCACGCACGCGCGCGCGCGCAAACACACACACACACACACACACACGTGCACAGGCCTGCGCATCTGCCTACACTCGGGATATCACACGCGCCTTCGGTCATCCCGAAGGGATAGAGGTACAGGGCAAGCAGATGCAAGGGTGCCGCGGGGGGAACTGTGGCACGGATCCTGTCTTCTGACCAGCTGGGCACGTTTCTGAAGCATGCGTGTGCTTTCTCTACACTCCTCAGGTGGAAGTGCCGTGCAAAGCTCGCTGCCGCCCACCGACAGAAGAAGACCCTTCGTGTCCCGTGACGAGCGCAGGTGCGAGGCAGTCGCGGCGGAAGTGTGGCCCGGGATGCGCACCACGCCCTCGGACGGCCCAGGACGGTCAGCATTGCTTTGTCCCAAGTTCGGCCTCTCGCCCTGAGGGCTTCGCTAGACCTGCCTCAGAGGCTTCTTGGGCGCGTGTGCCCGGGGGCCCGCGGCGTCGTGCTCTGAGGGCGGACTGACTGTTGCCCCTGCTCCGGCGGGGCTCGGCTCTGGATTCTCCAGGCCGCTGGCGCCCATGAGGCGATCGGCTCGCCCGCTGCGGAGCCCCCCAGCCTGCCTGGTTAGTTTGTCCAGGTTGGCAGAACGTGCTCGGATCGATGATGACTCCCTCATATGCATTCCTTGGAAAATCTGAACAAAATGAGTGAGAACTCACTACCGTCGTTCTCATCGAAACTGAGGTCCGGCACGTTGTCTTCCCCAGGCATGGCAGGAGTGAGGGACCGCTTCCCCTTGAGCGCACTGGGACGGGCACGGGCACCACGCCGGGCGTCCGCATTTGGGAGCCGTGGCATCTGGGGGTCCTTCCTCTCACCGCGTGAGGGGGGTGTCCGTCAGTCGGCGGTGCTTGGTTGAACGGCCTGTGGCTGAGGGCCGTGGCTGGCAGCTCGCATCCTAGGTTGGGAAGTCGGAGAGTGTGGCGCTGGCACAGGCCCCGTGAGCTCAGGGCCTTGTGGCTGTGTGGGCCTGGTTCCCGCCGGGGACGAAGGCCCCGGGGGTCTGCGTCTCGGAGCTGAGCAGTAAGCAGTGGAAGGTCGCGTGGTTTCTGATGAGAGCCCCGGGCCAGGCGGGCGGCCGTCAGCTGTTCTTGCCTTTTGGCTTGGTGAGGCAGTTGGAGCACCCCTCGCGGTTTGGGGCGCCGCCGGAGGGGTGAGACTTTGGTGCTGCAGCTTGGGGCTCCTCTAGTTCTCCGGCTCGCCCAGTCCACGCCAAGGTGCCCAAACGGGGACCGGGCTGTGGGCCTGGCACTCAGGTCAAGACACTGTGGTGGCTGATGGCCTGGTCGTGGGGAGCTGGGGGGAAGAAGAGCACGGAGAGGACAGGTCACAGTGTGATGCCGTGGGCTTCCGTGGGACGTGCTGCCTCGTTGTGTTCCGAGCGCTGGCAGCGGCTTGTCGGGAACGTGCCCTGGCTCTGACGGGGCTGGCGATTGGTGCGTGCCGGGGAAGGCTGGAGGCTTGAAGGCCCGGGGGTGTGCACTGTGGTCGGTGACCTTTGTGGCAGATGGCGGGCCTTGTTCCAGAGGGTGGCGCTCTGCGGTTCTCTCCACGGTTCCTTGAAGAGGGGCCCGGCACGTGACTGCCGGCGGCCGGCCGCCGCTGCTCATCGATTGCTTGGGCGACCGTGGCCTTGGATCCTCCGCCGTCTCAGGCGCGGGGTCTCCGAGGAGAAAGCGTTCCTCCAGCACGGTCCGATTTTCCTGGCGCGGTTCGCCTCGAGCCGCCGGGCGAGTCGAGGTCAAAGCCGCCAGCGCGAGCTCCTGGTCTCGCGGCAGGGCCTGAGGCCAGTGATGTGTGCGGAAGACGTGCTTCTTCAGGGTCTCGGGCCCCGCGCACCCGAAGACACGCACACGCGCCCGCCTGCGCGCCTTCCTGCGCTTGTGCTGTCACACACGCCTTCTTGTCACACCTGAGGGGAAGAGGTAGAGGCCAAGAAGATGCAAGGCTTGCCCCGGGGCAGGGAGTCGGGGTGGAACCCTTGGCCTGGCTCTGGTTACCTGAGAGCCTGGCTGGGTCGCTGAGGCGTGCGCGTGCGATTGCTCTGCACTTCCCAGGTGGGATCTCCGAGCAAAGCTTGCCGTCGCCCAAGAAGAGAAGACCTTCCTGTCGTTTGTGGAGCGGAGACGCGAGGGAATCCCGCAAGAAGCGTGGCTTCGGGTGCGCCCCGTGCCCGTGGGTCGCTGAGGCTGGTAAGGATCCCCCTGCACCCAGTTCGTGCCGTTGGCCCTGGGAGTCCCAGACCGCGCTGAGAGGCTTCTAGCCCGCGGGTCCCCGGGGGCGTGCGGAGCTGGCGCTCTGAGGGTGGGTCGACAGTTGCCCTTGCTCAGGGGCTTGGCTCGGGATTCTCCGGGCCGCTGGCCGACCCTGAGGTGATGGGCTCACCCGCCGAGCCCCGCCAGCTGCCCCGAAGGTGCTCGGATCGATGATGACTCCCTCAAATGCATTCCTTGGAAATCTGAACAAAATGAGTGAGAACTCACTACCGTCGTTCTCGCCGAGACTGAGGTCCAGCACCTGGTCTTCTCCGGGGGTGAGAGGAGTGAGGGACAGCTTCTGGTTGATGACACTCGCGCAGAGCCCGCCCAGGGCCTCAGCGTGTGGGCGTCTGCTGTGTTTGCACCGGGAGCGTGACCGCATGAGCTGGACGTTTGCGACTCGGAGGGACTTGCTTGAATGGCCGGCCTCTGCTGGCGCGGCGCCCGGGTCGCATGGGCGTCTTTAGAGTCGGAGAGTGTGGCGTTGGCATGGGCCCGGCCCGTGGTTGGCGCTGAGTACGCGCTGGCCCGGTTCTGGCCTGAGCCGTTGCCCCGGGGGGCGTGGCGGGTGGGGTGGCGGTCCGTGTCTGGAGCCGAACAGCCGAGTCTTCCCTGGGTTCCGTTCGGAGCCTCGGTTTGGGCCGGGCAAGCCGCAGCGCCTGTGGTTGCCTTCTGGCTTGGTGAGGAGGTGTGATGGGCCCGTGGTTTTGGCGGCGGGGGCAGCGGCCCTAGGCCGCAGCGCTGCAGCTGGCAGCTCCTGTGTGTCACCTGCTCACCCGGGCCACACACAGCTGGCCAAAGGTGGCCCTGGCGCTGACGTCCAGGCAGTGTGGTGGCTGACAGGACGGGCAGGAAGGAAAGGGAGCGGAGGGGAGCGGCCGTAGTGCGGTTCCACGGGCTTGCACAGGATGTACCCTCTTGTTGGGTTGCGACCGCCGTCGCGGTCTTGCCAGGGGTGGCGTTGGGTCCCAAGGGGGCTGCCGGTTGTTGCCTGCCAGGGAAGGCTCGGCTGCGGTAGATGACCTGTGCGGTAGACGGCGTCGCGCCCCCGGGAGGTTCGGCCCCCAGTGTTTGTTGTCCTAGCGCCTTGAAGAGACCCACAGGCCCGCGACTGGCCACCGGCCCCGTCTGCTCCGGATTGCTGAGGCGGACAATCTCTTTGACCCTGCGCCCCCTCGGGTCCGGCGCTTGCCAGGTGAAGGCGTTGCTGCAGGAAGGTTCGCTCTTCCTGGCCCGGGGGGCTCCTGTGGTCCCGGGCGTGCCGGGGAGCGGGGCCAGGTGGCGGTGTGGGGCGTCGGGGGGGGGGTGGGGGGGCGTGCGCGAGGGGTGGTTAAGAGCGGTGTGCGGAAGCCTGCGGGCGTGGCAGCGACCCGAGGGTGCTGCGATCCTGGGCGCCCTGCCCCGGACGCACGTCCAGCGTGGAGGAGGAGCACGTCTCCTTGTGTGGGAGCGGTGTCCTAGTTTCATTCTTTGCCTTGTCTTCCAGGAGGAGGCAGCGTTTGTGCTCTGTGAGGTCGTCTGTGGTGTTCTGGGGCCGAAGGAGGGGGTCATAGGTCGAGTGCGACGCGGTCGACTTAGGCAAAGTCATAATGCCTTGACGGCTGTCGTCCGGGAGGCTCCCTGCCCGCCTGGCGCGCGAGGTGTTGGAGGCTACACCTTGGGGGACTTGCTGTGCAGGCGTGAGGGGGCTTCCCCTTTGGAGCAGGGAGCCGCGGGGTTGAACGTTTCCTCGAAGGCCAGCGCCCCGCAACCCGCAGGCGGTGGAAATGCCGCGTCGCTGCGTGGGAATTGGCTGTGGTCTGAGACGGGTCTTGCCCCGGGTCTCGGTGGCTGTGACCAGCCGTTGCAGCGGGGTTCCCTGCTGGCCCGCCCAGGGCGTCTTGGCTTAGATAGCCCAGACCGGAGTGCGGCCTGAAGGCGTCGGGCCCCTGGAGGTTCAGACGGGCTGCTTCTGTTGCGCCGCCCGTGGGCGAGTGGTGCCGGCTCTCGTGTCAGCCCTGTTGTCCTGGCGGTAGCCAGGTAGCATTACCATCAAGTGCCGTTCCCCCCGGCCCAGCTCGCGGGGACACGCTGGCCACGTTGACCTCACATCCACGGTCAGCGTGAGGGTGTAGGTGGATGGTCCGTGTCCTTTGCTCAGAAGGAGTGGCGCTCAGAGAGGGAGTCCGGGGCCGATTGCAGCAGCCTCTAGCGGTGCGAGTTGGCGTCCTTCCTTGGGAAGTCACCGGGCTTCCGCGTGGGGTGGCAGGGCACGAGGTCAGGCATCTGTGAGGACGGCGTGCTTTCCCGGGTGCTGAGGCCACCGCACACGGAAGCCCGCAGGCACGCACGCGCGCGCGCGCGCACACACACACACACACACACACACGTGCACAGGCCTGCGCATCTGCCTACACTCGGGATATCACACGCGCCTTCGGTCATCCCGAAGGGATAGAGGTACAGGGCAAGCAGATGCAAGGGTGCCGCGGGGGGAACTGTGGCACGGATCCTGTCTTCTGACCAGCTGGGCACGTTTCTGAAGCATGCGTGTGCTTTCTCTACACTCCTCAGGTGGAAGAGCCGTGCAAAGCTCGCTGCCGCCCACCGACAGAAGAAGACCCTTCGTGTCCCGTGACGAGCGCAGGTGCGAGGCAGTCGCGGCGGAAGTGTGGCCCGGGATGCGCACCACGCCCTCGGACGGCCCAGGACGGTCAGCATTGCTTTGTCCCAAGTTCGGCCTCTCGCCCTGAGGGCTTCGCTAGACCTGCCTCAGAGGCTTCTTGGGCGCGTGTGCCCGGGGGCCCGCGGCGTCGTGCTCTGAGGGCGGACTGACTGTTGCCCCTGCTCCGGCGGGGCTCGGCTCTGGATTCTCCAGGCCGCTGGCGCCCATGAGGCGATCGGCTCGCCCGCTGCGGAGCCCCCCAGCCTGCCTGGTTAGTTTGTCCAGGTTGGCAGAACGTGCTCGGATCGATGATGACTCCCTCATATGCATTCCTTGGAAAATCTGAACAAAATGAGTGAGAACTCACTACCGTCGTTCTCATCGAAACTGAGGTCCGGCACGTTGTCTTCCCCAGGCATGGCAGGAGTGAGGGACCGCTTCCCCTTGAGCGCACTGGGACGGGCACGGGCACCACGCCGGGCGTCCGCATTTGGGAGCCGTGGCATCTGGGGGTCCTTCCTCTCACCGCGTGAGGGGGGTGTCCGTCAGTCGGCGGTGCTTGGTTGAACGGCCTGTGGCTGAGGGCCGTGGCTGGCAGCTCGCATCCTAGGTTGGGAAGTCGGAGAGTGTGGCGCTGGCACAGGCCCCGTGAGCTCGGGGCCTTGTGGCTGTGTGGGCCTGGTTCCCGCTGGGGACGAAGGCCCCGGGGGTCTGCGTCTCAGAGCTGAGCAGTAAGCAGTGGAAGGTCGCGTGGTTTCTGATGAGAGCCCCGGGCCAGGCGGGCGGCCGTCAGCTGTTCTTGCCTTTTGGTTTGGTGAGGCAGTTGGAGCACCCCTCGCGGTTTGGGGCACCGCCGGAGAGGTGAGGCTTTGGTGCTGCAGCTTGGGGCTCCTCTAGTTCTCCGGCTCGCCCAGTCCACGCCAAGGTGCCCAAACGGGGACAGGGCTGTGGGCCTGGCACTCAGGTCAAGACACTGTGGTGGCTGATGGCCTGGTCATGGGGGCCTGGGGGGGAGGAAGGGCACGGAGAGGACAGGTCACAGTGTGATGCCGTGGGCTTCCGTGGGATGTTCTGCCTCGTTGTGTTCTGAGCGCTGGCAGCGGCTTGTTGTGGACGTCCCCTGCCTCTGATGGAACTGGTGACCGGTGCTTGCTGAGGAAGGCTAGAGGCCTTGCCAGGCCTGGCGTTGAGTCTAAGGGGGCTTCCAATTGATGCCTGCCCAAGAATGCTTGGCTGCGGTAGATGACCTTTGTGGTCACCGCCTCACACTTCCGGAGTGGCGCTGCTCAGTGCTTTTCCTTCCACTGATTTTCAGAGTTGCACTGGTGATTTTGATTCCTCTTGTTTTCTCTTGTATCCCCTCTTTCTTCTTGTTATCAACCAGTCAGTGATTCTCTCAGGATGGCCTTATTTCATTTCTGTGCCCATCCCCTAGTCACGTCCCTCTATGCTTCATTTTCTCTGTGGCTCTCAGAGAAAGTAGGTCTTCCACTCTCATCTCTAATGTGCTAGTTATAGATACCTGAAATCTTTTTTTTTAAAATTTACTTTTTAATTCCTTCTTATCTTTTCTCTGGCTAGGTCAGTCTTTGGTTTTTGAATAAATGTGGGGACACCAGGCCAAGAAATGGATCCAACACCCTTTGATTTCAACACAGTTATTCCATGCCAAGAGCTTGTCCTCTAACAAGTTAATGCCGTCAGGTAGTAGAACTCCTGAAGCTTTTAGTATTTCAAGCTGTCTCATGGGGCCTTACTTTGCAATTCTGTGGAGGACACTCTCATCCAGGTCTACTTGTGATTCTAATTTTTCTTTCAAGTGACTGTGTTGAAGGACCCTCCTTGGGAAATTCGTGACCCATTTGGAAGTAACCTACTTCCAGCAAGCATTTTGTCCTGGAACTCTTGGCCTTCAAATTTGCCCACCTTGTTAGGATTTTCTTTTGTCCAAATGAAGGGATTTTGCCTTGACTTTGAGGCACAGAAAGGACCATGCTTGTTAATTTCACTGGGACAATTCATGTGGATATCTTGTATCCTTCAGTCAGTGTCCCTAAGAAGCCCCTTTTGCTGGTGGTGACCTCATGTTGCAGTGGCCCTTGCCTTTCAGCCAAGTACACTTCCCTTGTGAGTCCTTCCAGACAATGTATGTCCACCTTTTTTCAAACTTGTGTTGAGGCAGTCTACGTGGAAAGAGTAGGTTAGTCTCCACAAAAGTAATCGCTTTTATTAAGGCATTTCTGTGTTATTTAAATACCTGCACAGTGTCCCAGGTCACATTCTTTTGTTTTTAATCCTTGTTCTTCAGCAGTGTGAGTGTCAATCAGGAAGCTTTATATAACAAATGCCATTTTAATTGGGGAATTACACCCATACGTAGCAGACTTCATGCACACATGGTGCATCCTCCTCTTTTTGTTATTTCTCTGTTTAGTATTTCCAAAAAGCCATAATGAAATTGAACATTGCTGTGTTCTCATTTGCTTCCCATATGCCCATTTGTTTACTGGACCTTCAAAGTTGAACAGTTTTTATTTGATACTGAAGTTATACTTCTGTATATTTATACTACAACAAATTTACTTTTCTATGTTTGACTTTCCTTAGATTATTATACTTTTTCAACTGACATATTTAATATACAGAAATCTTAACTTCTTATCACATGCAGATATTTAGTGTTTCTTTTTTTAGATTACCTTCTTTGGTTCTAAATTAGACAAAATCTATTGATCCATACTAAGTTGACATAATATCTTAACTGTTTTGTCCATTGTAATAATCAGCCTACCCAGTGAGATTTTTATATCTATTGTAAATTTTTCTGGGTTTTTTTCCAGTTTATTTTTTTACAATTTTTATTGCTTACCTGAGATTGTTTACTATTCCCATTTATTTCAAGAGATTTTGTAGTTACACTGTAAATATTTTTATCATCACTATTTTTAAATACTTGTCAGATAACTATATCATTTGTTTAATCTTTTGTTGACATCTTTTGATTTTTCTTATTCTATGAATGATTTTCCTGTTTCTTGTTTTGTAGGTGATTTCTTATTTCCTCATGGACAGTTTTTGCTATTTGGTTAGACATACCTGAATTCTATTCAAATTTTTTCTTTTAACACTCATGCACCCCATTTACGTTTAATACAAATAGCTTGTCCTACTTTTGTAGGCTGTGGTTTCAATGGCAGTCTAGTTGTGATAGCTGATGTGGTACTGTTTCACAATCACTTGGTTTATCTGGTTGTGATGGGCCTCCGTCTAGCTGCTACTAGTGCTGCCTAAGGTCCTGGAATGTTTTTCCTGGACCAGGATGCCTATGTGTCTATTTAGGGGAAGGGAGACTAGAATACAAAAATGAAGAATTCCTCTTAGTTCATGCAGCTCAATAACATGGGATAACCCGACCTCTGTCACCCAGCTGATACCATCCTCAGGTGCAGAAGGAAATTCTCCAGTCTATAGAACTTTGAGGCTATGCAAATGAGAATGCCTGCAGGGTAGAGATCCCTAGGCCAGTTGACCAATGAATGTCTGTGTTACAAATCTTTGCTCGTTTTTGTTCTTTTACTACAGTTCAACATAGAATCAGCACTGGTTTTCACATGAAAGAATTTTTTTTTTTCTCCTTGAGAAGTAAAATGACGGAGACTAAGTCTGGCATCCAAACTTCACTGTCCAGTGGGAATTTTCACACTGGTAAGCATTTTGTCCTGAGAATAATGACATTCCTCTTAGGACATTGTAACACTCCAATAACAATAAGATTCTGACCATGCTAGTCAACTGTGAGGCTAATTTATTGACTTTGATGACTGGTCTCCATGATTGGCAACTGTGGGTCACTGTGTCTGACAGTGTCAGAATCCTGAGTGTTCAGTTTCTACCACGTATCTCAGGATCAAGCTCCCTTTTACAAATGTGCCTGGATCAATGATGACTTCAAAAATGGATGTCGTTGGAATCTGAACAAAATGAGTGACAAGATCACTTCTGTGAGCTGAGGTCCAGCACAAGGGACAATATCATGCAAATAATATGGAAAGGAATTCAGTTTGGTCATCAAGTGATACTAAAATAAGGGGACTATGGTGTTGGAAAACTCACATGCTGGCATATGCTAGAGGAAACGAATTGTACAGAGGCTGTAAATAACCATCATGGAATGACATGGTAACTCTTTGAGTGCTTGACTGGCAGCACCCATAGTAAACAGACCGTGGAGAACCAGCAAATGAGTAGGGAACACTGCAGGAAAAGGTTGTGTGCCTTACCTTGAGCCAGTCACTCAGTTTCCTTAGATGTCACAGTCTTGTGAGGATCAGCATGTTTAGGTCTATTAGATAGTAAATTAGAAAAAAATTGTTAGTTTTTGCTTCTCATTTAAATAAAATAAATATTGAAGTGATATGTGAATATCAACTTCAATTGAATATTGAAGGAAAATTGAAGGGCAGATTGTATTTATTGGATTCTCTTATTCTGTGCTTTAATTTGCTTGTTGACCCAGTCTCAAAGATTAGAACATTTTTTTTCTTTTTTCTGTCAGTCAGGGAGAAATTTTCTAGGTATTTGATAATGGGTTAAATTAGATACTTTTTTGAACATTTTTAACCATGAAATGGTTAAATTTCCAATTCTTGGAATTTTATGTGGCTATTATTAGCTAATATTCATATTCCTTCAATGTGTTTATGTGTTGTAAGAGAAGTTATAATTTCAATGAGTAATGCTCAGGAGGGCCTTTGGATAAACTTTGAGACTAAGGTCTTAGAAAAATTGATTTTCTATATGACCCTTTTCCAAGGAACAAGCATAGTTTTTCTAGTTACATAGAAGATCAAGTGAATATCTATGGTTAATTCCTTATTCCTTCAGTAAACATTCAATTGGGAAGGTTTTGTTTTACAACTTCCTAAATTTCCTCTGTGCCCTTGTAGAATGGAAGTGATTTTGGAAGAGCATGGAATACTCACAACTGTAGTGAAGAAGTGCTGATTTTGTCACTTTTACCTGTTCCCTTTCCTGAGATGGAACAAAACAGTGCAATCCAAAGGTAATAACCAATTTTAAATAAATTTACTCTTAAAGGCTTATTTTTATTATATTTTTCTGTAATCAAATAGATAATTGGTTTTGTGATGTATCTGTTAATCTAAACAATGTGAATTATTAATTAATTTGGTGAGTTGTCCAATATTTTATCTCCTTTATTTCCAGGATTTTTGTGCTTTCTCCCTTTGAATAATATCAGAAACATTCTAGGAAAGCAATATAAGTATATTTGAAATGAAGGTACATAATAAACCCTCTTGTGCACATTTGACAAATGGACATGTATACATCTCATCTTTCCATATTTTTACCCTATTTTCACAGGTCAACAAGAACAAATCTCAGGTTTCATATGAAAATGTTTATTCCTTCTCCTTGAGATAAGACATGAAGGAAAGGCCCATCCTCAAGGACCAGTGGGAATTCTTAGGTCGGTAAGCGTTTGTCCCTAAAATATCGACATTCTTTCTAGGGATTATATAATACTCGAATTACCATAAACACTGTCTGTGATAGACAGCTGTGAAATATGGATCATTGATGTAGGGGCTGGCCTTCATAACTGAATAGGGTGGATAAATGTGTCCTAGAGTGATGAACTCTGAAGTGCTGTTCTTTTAACTTTGTGAGACAAGCAGTGCCCTATTTTAGAAAGTTGTGTGTATCAATGATTGCTATAATAATTGATCTTATTGAAAAATCTGAACAAGATGAGTTAGACAGTCACTTCGATGAACCTAAGTTCCAGCACAGATATTCACCCTAAGCAAAATATATACAGGGGGAGATCAGCGTTTTTATTTATGTGGTACCAGCAAGAACTGCAGTACTAGAAAGCAAAATTGCGGGTGTATATTAGAGGAATTGAATTGTATGGTGCTCTATATACATCTGATTTGGGGGTGAAATTACAACTCTTTGAGTGCTTACCTGGCAGCATAAATACACTTGTAGTAAACAGCTCCTGGGGAACTAGCACTTGGGTACAGGCATTACCTTGGAAATATCGTAGATTTGGTTCCACACCACCACAATAAAGTGACTATCTCAATAAAGCAAGTCATGCAAATTTTTTGTTTTCCCAGTGCGTATAAAAGTCATGTTTACCCTATACTGCAGTCTATTAAGTGTGCAATAACATTGTGTCTAAAAAAAAAAGTACCTTCCTTAATTAAAAAATATTTTATTGCTAAAAAATTCTAACCATCATCTGAGCCTTGAGAGAGTCATAACATTTTTGTTGGTTGAGGTCTTATAAAAAACACAATATTTGTGAAGGGCAATAAAGCAAAGTGCAATAAAATGAAGTATGCCTACACTGGAAGTTCTGGAAATTGTTATGCTTATACCTGAGCCATTCACACATTTGTCTGAGCTGCTGGAATCTTCTGAGTAATGATTGGTCTCTTGAGGGCTATTAGATGGTCAAAATCCAAAGAGATTATGGACTTTCACTTTCCTTTATTAACTGAAACAAATATATGATGATTGAAAAGTAGATACTATATGTAGAATCTTCACAGTCTAATTTGCTTGCCATCTAGTCATTGGGATTGAATTACTTTTTCTTCATTTTTGTTTTTCTCATCAACCAAAAGAGCAACTTCATATACACATGCATACTGGCTTAGACTACATACTGCATTAAACATTTTTTAGATGTGAAATGATTAAATTTCCAATTCTTGGTTATTTTACATGGCTTTCCTTGACCACTTTTATATACCCTCAGTGATTTCCAATATGTTTGAAGAGAGATCATTGTTATAATGAATGGAAGATATGGTGGCTGTGCTGAGGAACCTGTGACACCAATGTCTTTGAAAAAAAATATTTCTAAACTAACATGTTCCAGGGAGCAAGCATTTGTTGTTCTTGTGGTATAGATGGTACAGTGAATATCTCTGATGGATTCCTTATAACACCTTGTTACTAAATATTCTATTAGGAAAGTTTTGTTTCTCAATTCCCTAATGTCCGCTGTTCTTTGTAGATTGGAAGTGATGTTTGAGGTGTTAAAATTAGTAAAGGAAACCCCAACTAAAATTAGAGTCCAGGAGGCCTGTAGAGGGAGCTCTCCCATCCTACTATTCATCATCAATTACCCCAAACAGGAAGACATTGATTACAGTGTTAGTTACAGACCTTGACAGGAAGAGAGGTATCTTGCACTCCCAAACAGGAAGTGCAACAATTTTACTGCTGTATCAGGAGGAAGGAAGATTTCCCTCTTGCCCAGCAATAAACCCAGCCATTAGAAACACCAGAGCACAGCCAATAAGATCCAAAATAACAGCCAATAATGTTGTTGATCTTAAACAAATAGGCATCCAGTTATTTCTCCAGCAAAAGTAAGTATTTGAGATCAGTGAAGAATTGCAATTTGGGGTCTGCAACCATAGTGAACCACATGCAAGTCCTCCAGAAGCCAGGGAGGATCAATCCTTTTATAGAGGGGAAGAGGAAGTTGGGAGGGCCATTGTAAACAAAGAGTTGGAGGTGTAGTGGCTTTTCATTGGCTGAGTCATGACAGTCTCTCGTTGCCTGAGCTTCTTGCCTGTCAAGCAGAGGAAATCTCTCTTCTTCCTCTTGGGTTCTGCAATCCAGGTAGGGTATGAGAGCTCCTCCTTTTGGCCTCTTGGTTCCAATTTAATGAGGTTTCTGTTTGTTAATCTGACACAATGATCACCTGAACTCTTACTTTCCTCCAATGAACTGCTTTTTCTTTGCTGATGACTTTCTTGTCCTGCCCTCCTTCATCTTGTACAACCCCTCAATGTATTTCTCTACCTGCCAGATGAGATGCTTCCTGATTCATGAGCTATTTAATTAAGCCAATTAGATCTCCAAATTTACTAGTTGAATTTTTTTTTTAACAGATTGGTGGAAGCAGTGGGATTTGAAGCAAACTTCTGACAACATCCAGGGTCAACAAGAAACGCAGGTGTGGCACCCATGAACCCTTTCGAGTTCACTCTTTCTTGTCATTTCCAGGGGCCATTGGTAAGTTCCAGTGGCCAAGTTTCCACTTTCTCTTTGTGTTTGAACTCCAAATCTAATTGGCTTTCCTTTAAAGGGCCTTCTTTTCAGAATGCAATTCCCAGGATGCAGTAATATCTCTTGGTTACTGCCGATTTTTTGAGTGGAAAACTCCAGCCCTTGATTCTGTCTCCAGGTTCTGTTTGGAGTCAGCCCCTAGATTCCACACTGGGAACTGTTGGTAGTAGCTACAGTTCTCCATTTTGTTTGGAATCTGTCCATAGTCACCGTTCCTTTGGATTTGCTGGTTCAATCCTTATCCCCCAGTCCAAAATCCCATTGGAATTGTTGGTGATGTGCCTTCTTTTTGGCCAGGGCCGTGTTTTGGCCAGGATATAGTAACATCTCTTGGTTGCTGCCAATATATTAAGGTGCACAAGTTTGTTTGTCTTGTTTTGTGTGGATAAAGGCTAGCTAAAGAAATGAGATCCTTTATATCCAAAGACTTAAGCATGCCACCTTCTGGCACACCTGCTTATGTTATGTTTAACAATTATAGTCCCAGAAGTTGTAGATATCTAGAAAGATGGCAAAATTTTACTAACAACAACCTAGAAGTACAGTGGCCATTATGGGGAACATTCCAATGAGATAAAATACGTTGTTTAAGAAATACACTTGAGAGCAAGTCATACAAAGTAGATCAGACAGAATGGGATGCCTACTTTAATTGTTATGCAGAAGCTTACAAAAGTCTTCAAGATTTCAAAATATATTAAAAGACTTATTACAAAAGGTGAATGAAAAATAAAGAGTCAAAAGGTACCTAAAACAAAAGGTGATAGGACAGACATAACTCCTACTGCCCCCCTTGTTCTGTTTCACCTTTGTACTCACCCTTTACTGATTCTCTGTCTGAACTGCCTTTCTACTCTGAAGAGAATATTAAACAATTACTGTTGGAAATAAAACTAC